TTGTTTTGTTTTGTTTTTTCTTTTTAAAAAAGTTTGAACCTTTTACTTCTTCCTTTCCCTCTCTCTTTCCTTCCGTTATGGGTTTTGTTTGTCGTCGTCGTCGTTAGTTCGCGCTCTCCGTCTTCACCGAAAGGCTGGGCCTGGTGCTCTGGGACGTGGTTTTTCCTCTCAGGGTGCCTAAAGCAGAGGAGAAGGGAGGCGAAGGGGTGGCACAGCTGCGATTATCCCAGGTACCAGGACTGAGCAGGGAGAAAAGAGAGAGGCCAGCGTTAGTGCTCCGCTCCCAGAGACTCGTCGCCCCCCGCCAAGCCGCCGGCCCCAGACCCCTGCGGCTCCCCCCATCCCGCAGAGCCTGTCGCGGCCTCTGCATCCAGCATCGCCTCGCCCACACCTCAGTTTTCCCATCTCTGAAACGGGAAGAGAGGGCGCTCCGCGGCCAGAGCACATCGGGGAGTGGGGCTGGAGACCCGCGACGGGTGCAGACCCCCCCAGTCCTGGGTGCCAGGCCCCAGAGCGACACGCGCTCATCCTGTCTGCCGGCCCGCGCAGAAGGTGCCCCACGGCACAGCACAGCACCCCCAAGCACTTGTCCTCACCACGGCACAGCACCCAGAGGTGCCCCACAGCACGGAGCAGCACCCCTAAGTGCTCGTCCCCACCACGACACACCAACCCGAGGTGCCCCAAGGCGCAGCGCAGCACCCCCAAGTGTTTGTCCCCACCATGGCACAGCACCCCGAGGTGCCCCATGGCACGGTGCAGGACCCCCAAGTGCTCGTTCCCACCATGGCCCAGCACCACGAGGTGCCCCACAGCACGACCACCAAGTGCTCGTCCCCATCACGGCACACCACCCCGAGGTGCCCCACGGCACAGCACAGCACCCCCAAGCACTTGTCCTCACCACGGCACAGCACCCAGAGGTGCCCCACAGCACGGAGCAGCACCCCTAAGTGCTCGTCCCCACCACGACACACCAACCCGAGGTGCCCCAAGGCGCAGCGCAGCACCCCCAAGTGTTTGTCCCCACCATGGCACAGCACCCCGAGGTGCCCCATGGCACGGTGCAGGACCCCCAAGTGCTCGTTCCCACCATGGCCCAGCACCACGAGGTGCCCCACAGCACGACCACCAAGTGCTCGTCCCCATCACGGCACACCACCCCGAGGTGCCCCACGGCACAGCACAGCACCCCCAAGCACTTGTCCTCACCACGGCACAGCACCCAGAGGTGCCCCACAGCACGGAGCAGCACCCCTAAGTGCTCGTCCCCACCACGACACACCAACCCGAGGTGCCCCAAGGCGCAGCGCAGCACCCCCAAGTGTTTGTCCCCACCATGGCACAGCACCCCGAGGTGCCCCATGGCACGGTGCAGGACCCCCAAGTGCTCGTTCCCACCATGGCCCAGCACCACGAGGTGCCCCACAGCACGACCACCAAGTGCTCGTCCCCATCACGGCACACCACCCCGAGGTGCCCCACGGCACAGCACAGCACCCCCAAGCACTTGTCCTCACCACGGCACAGCACCCAGAGGTGCCCCACAGCACGGAGCAGCACCCCTAAGTGCTCGTCCCCACCACGACACACCAACCCGAGGTGCCCCAAGGCGCAGCGCAGCACCCCCAAGTGTTTGTCCCCACCATGGCACAGCACCCCGAGGTGCCCCATGGCACGGTGCAGGACCCCCAAGTGCTCGTTCCCACCATGGCCCAGCACCACGAGGTGCCCCACAGCACGACCACCAAGTGCTCGTCCCCATCACGGCACACCACCCCGAGGTGCCCCACGGCACAGCACAGCACCCCCAAGCACTTGTCCTCACCACGGCACAGCACCCAGAGGTGCCCCACAGCACGGAGCAGCACCCCTAAGTGCTCGTCCCCACCACGACACACCAACCCGAGGTGCCCCAAGGCGCAGCGCAGCACCCCCAAGTGTTTGTCCCCACCATGGCACAGCACCCCGAGGTGCCCCATGGCACGGTGCAGGACCCCCAAGTGCTCGTCCCCATCACGGCACACCACCCCGAGGTGCCCCACGGCACAGCACAGCACCCCCAAGCACTTGTCCCCACCACGGCACAGCACCCAGAGGTGCCCCACGGCACGGAGCAGCACCCCCAAGTGCTCTTCCCCACCACGACACACCAACCCGAGGTGCCCCAAGGCGCAGCGCCGCACCCCCCAGTGTTTGTACACCCCAAG